AAACAACCAAAACAAATTTTAACAAAATGGCAGTAAGTACATAGCTATCAACATTTTAAATGTAAATGACCTAAATGTTCTTGAATATCAAAAGACATACGGTGGCAGAATAGAGAAAAAAATCCAACACCCCTCTAAATGCTTCCTACAAGAGACTCCCTTCAGACCTAAAGAAATATACAGACTGCATGTGAAAGGACAGATAAAAATATCCCATACAAATGAAAGTGGAAAAAAAAAAGCTGGGGTACTAATATCAGATGAAATAGACTTTAAACAAAGACTGTAACAAGAGACGAAGAGGGCATTACATAATGATAAAGAGGTCAATCCATCCAGAAGGTAAAAGAATTGTAAATATTTATGCACCCAACACTGGAGCACCTAAATACAGAAAGCAAATATTAATGATATAAAGAGAGAAACTGACAATAATACAATAATACTAAGGGACTTTGAAACCCACTTACATCAATGGATACATGATCCAGGCAGAAAATCAACAAGGAAACCATGTTTTTGAATGATACATTAGACCAGATGTATACAGAAATAAATGTATAGATACAGAAATTCTATCCAAAAACAAAATACACATTCTTTTCAAACGCACATGGGACATTCTCTAGGAGAGATCACATGTTAGGCCACAAAACAAGTCTCAATAAATTTAAGAAGACTGGAATCATATCATGCATCTTTTCTGACCATGATGGTATAAAACTAGAAATCGGTAACAAGAAAAAAAACCGGGGAAAAAAAAAATCACGTGGAGGCCAAACAACATGGTACTAAACAACAAATGGGTCAATAAAAAAATCCAAGAGGAAATTAAAAAATACATGGAGACAAATGAAAATGAAAACATAAAGGGCCAAAATCTTTGATATGCAGCAAAAGCAGGGAAATTTATGATACCTACCTCAAGAAACGAAAATCTCAAACAATCTAACATTACACCTATACGAACTAGAAAAAGAACAAAGAAAGCCCAGATTTAGTAGAAGGACATAATAAAGATCAGATCAGAAATAAATGAAATAGACTAAAAAAAAAAAATAGAAAAAAGTCAATGATACCAAGAGCAGGTTCTTTGAGAAGATAAACAAAATTGATAAACTTTTAGTCAAACTTCATCAAGAAAGAAAAAGAAGTAACAACCAACTACAGAAATACAAAGGATTGTAAGAGACCACTACAAAAAATTATATGCTGACAAATTGGACAACCTGTAAGAAAAGGATAAATTCTTAGAAACATGTAATTTTCTAAAACTGAATCAGGAAGAAATAAAATCTGAACAGATCAATTACTAGTAACAGAATGGAATTGGTAATCAACTCCCAACAAACCAAAAGTCCAGTACCAAATGGCTTCACAGGTGAATTCTACCAAACATTTAAAAAATATCTATTCTGAATCAACCATATTAATCTATTACAAAAACAGGAGAGGAAGGAAAGCTTCCAGATACATTCTACAAGGTCAGCATTACCTTCCTACCCAAACCAAAGTCCCTACAAAAAAACCCCTATAGGCCAACATCTCTGATGAACTTAGATGCAAAAATCAACAAAATATTAGCAAACCATATTCAACAATACATTAAAAGGATCATTCACCATGATCACGTGGGATCCATTCCAGGGATCCAAAGGTGGTTCAATATCCACAAATCAATAAATGTGATACATCCCGTTAACAAAATGAAAGATAAAAACCGTATGACCATCTCAAAAGATGCAGCAAAAGCATTTGACAAAATTCAACATCTGTTCACGATGAAAACCTTCAAAGTAGGCTTAGAGGGAACATACGAAAAACCCACAGCTAACATCATACGCAATGGGGAAAAACTTTTTCCCTAAGATCAGGATATCCTCTCTCACTACCTTTATTCAATATAATACTGCAAGTACTAGTGACAGCAATCAGACAAGAAAAAAGAATAAAAGGCATGCAAATTGGTAAGGAAGTTAAACTGTCATTTTTGTACAATGTATTTCTATACATAGAAAACCCTAGACTCCACCAAAAAATTACTAGAAGTAATAAAGCTGCAGAATACAAAATTAGTACACATAAATTGGCTGTAATTCTATACAATAATAATGAAGTAGCAGAAAGAGAAATGAAGAAAACAATCCCATTTACAATTGCACCAAAAATAATAAAATACCTAGGAATAAACTTAATGAAGATGAAGATCTGTACTCTGAAAACTATGAAACACTGATTAAAGAAATTGAAGATGACACAAACAAATGGAAAGGTTTTCCATGTTCATGGATTGGAAGAATTAGTATCCCTAAAATGTTCACACTACCCAAAGCAATCGACAGGTTCCATAAAATCCCTATCAATGTACCAAGAGCATTTTTCATGGAGAGAGTACAACCAATCCTAAAATTTGTATGGAGCCAGAAAAGACCCCAAATAGCCAGAGGAATATTGAAAAAGAAAAGCAAAGCTGGTGGCATCACAATTCCGGACTTCCAGCTCTATTACAAAGCTGTCATCATCAAGACAGTATGGTACTGGCATAAAAACAGACACACAGATCAATGGAACAGAATTGAGAAACCCACACTCACATGGTCAATTAATCTGTGACAAAGGAGGCAAGAATACACAACTGGGAGAAGACAGTCTCTTCAATCCATGGTGCTGAGAAAACTGGAGAGCGATATGAAAAATAATGAAACTGGACTGCTTTCTTGCACCATATACAAAAATAAACTCAAAATGGATTAAAGACCTAAATTTGAGACCTGAAACCATAAAACTCCATAAAAAAACACAGGCAGTAATCTCTTTGATATTGGTTTTACCAACATATTTCTAGCTATGTCTTCTGTGGCAAGGGAAACCAAAGCAAAAATAACCCTATTAAAACTAGACTAAAATAAAAAGCTTCTGCACAGTGAAGGAAACCTTCAATACAACAACAAAAAAACCCCAACTGAATGGGAGTTGATTTTCACAAATGATCTATTTGATAAGGGTTTAATATCCAAAAATATATAAAGAACTTCTACAACTCAACACTAAAAACACAGATCATCTGAATAAAAATGGACAGAGGACCTGAATAGACATCTTCCCAAAGAAGACATACAGGTGGCCAATAGGTACATAAAAGAGATGTTCAACATCACTAATCATCAGGGAAATGCAAATTAAAACCACATGGAGGTATCACCTGACGCCTGTCAGAGTGGGTAAAAAAACACAGGAAACAACAGGTGTTGCTGAGGATATGGAGAAAAAAGGAACCCTCGTGCACTATTGGCAGGTCTACAGACTGGTGTAGCCACTGTGGAAACAGTCCAGAAATTCCTCAAAAAATTAAAAATAGAATTACCATATGATCCAGTAATTCTACTACCTAGCAAAAATGAAAACATTAATGTGAAAAGATATATGCACCCCTGTGCATATAGTTACAGCATTATTTACAATAGCCAAGATACAGAAGCAACCTAAGTGTCCATCAACAGATGATAAGGAAGATGTGGTAGGTACACACACACAGGAATATTACATAGCCATAAAGAAGAGATCATGCCCCTGAGACAACATGGATGGACCTATCTAGAGAGTATAACGCTAAGTGAAATAAATCAGAGAAGGACAAATACCGTATGATTTCACTTACTTGGAATCTAAAAAACAAAACAAATGAATAAACAGACCCGTAAATGCCAAAAACGGATAGCTGCCAGAGGGGAGGGGTTGGGGAGATGGGCGAAATGAGGGAAGGGGAGTGGGAGATATGGGCTTCCAGCTGTGGAATGAACCCAGTCCAGGGATGATAGGTACAGCACAGGGAATAGAGTCACCAATGTTGTATGGTGACAGATGGGAGCTACCCTTGTGGTGAGCGCAGCATAACACACGGACTTGTTGAATCACTGTTGTATACCTGCAATTAATGTAACTTTGTGGGTCAGCTACATTTCAGTTAAAGAAAAGGGCGAAGAGAGTAAATATTTTAGGTTTTGCGGGCCATTCAGTGGGTCACAACTTCTCCCCTGTGTGTTAAAGCATACAAACAGTGTGTAAATGAATAGGTGTGTCTGTTTCAATTAAACTTTATAAAAACAGGTAGCAAGCCATAGTTTGCCACTCCTAATCTAGACTCCAGTCCCTGTGGGCAGATGTACGTGTCGTCTCCTGCCTCCCGGAACAGTGGCTGCGACTCGCTTGTGGCAGAGTGGCTTGGTGGGGGTGTATTTTGTTACCAGTCAACAAGTATTTCTCAGAATGGTTGTGTGTCCTATCCGCTCATTGAGGATTTCACAGTCCAGTTGGGTAGACAAGATGTGTTGTCTAGGAGTTTTTATAAGAAGTAAATAATGCAAAGGCATCTGAGTGCTGATGCAGGTGCTATGGATTCTAAGCGCTACGGGAAGAGTATAGGGGTCAGGGCCGTCCCGAAGGACGACAGCGCTGTAGCAGGCCACGCAGCGCCGTCCCCAAAATAAGTATTTCCTACCACTCACCATGTATCCAGCATTATGCTAAAATGTCATACATGGGTCTGTTGTAGCCTATAAAATAATCACATGAGTTTGGTCCCAAAGTCCTGAGAAATTAAGTGACTTGATGATGGCTCTGCAGATGCAAAGTATCAAAACTGGGATGTGATTTCAGAGCATGGGCTCTTGACACAAAACCGTGTTCTCTGTCCCTACAGAGGCAAGAGCAGCATGTGAACAAAAGAGGGAACTGTAATGGCTGATACACCATTGTTCAAAGCTGTGGGGCTGGTCCCTCCTCTGATACGCGCGTTTCCAAACGCGTAAGTTGTTTTCCTTTGCTGTCACTTACAGCATTGTCAGGGAAGTGAAACATTTCAGGTGGTTCAAGAGCAGGGCGGATAGTCAGTTGTACTTCATCAATCACACAGGCAGGCTTCGCAGGCACAGGGGGCAATGATGGGCTGCACTGCCAAACGCATCCCCGGCTACTGGGCTGGTTGAACAGTGCTGACTTACCATCATACTCTGGGAAGTAGTCAACTAGGTGGGAATACATAATTTTCTCCTCTAGAAGATCTTTCTTGTTTAAGAATAAGATAACCGAGGAGTTCTGGAACCAGGGATATGTGATAATTGTTCTAAAGAGTGCTTTGCTTTCCTCCATCCGGTTCTGGAAAAAAAAAATCAGAAAAACAAGGCATGAATTACATGATTACTCCATCTGTGTATTGTTTGTTTTGGAAGTGCAACCCATCTTCTGCAGGCTTTCAAACTGTAGCTGCTTTTAATGGGTTTACATGCAAAGGGTTCGTGACACCCAACGGCTCTTACATTAAGTAAGCTCTCAGCCTGACGAACAGGTCACCAGCTCTCCTTCCCACAGACACCCTCACGGCTAGGTCATTCCCACCCCCCAGGTCAAGAAAAGGCAGCAGATTTGGGAGAGTCCTCCCTTGCCTGGGGATACAAAAGCCTGGGTGCACGGGGACACATCTTCCTGGCCACACAGATGATACTTTCCAGCCCCCTGAATGAGGGCTACGTGTGATGACCAAGATTCCAGCAGTGAAAACACCTGCCCCGGGTTCAGCCCACCTCCACTGCGCCCCGGGGGGAGCCTGATGGTTTAAGCTACAGCATCCTATTCCCATGGCACCCGGCTCGGTTCAGGGCAGGGCTCCACATCCAGGCCCCATCATCACTTGGAACAACTCGTCTCTGGTTTATGGTCATCAGTTTAGCCAAACAGCTCAACTGGTCCCACCAGTTGATTTCATGCAGAATGTGGATGAGGACTCATGTAGCCTAGGACTTCTGGCAACAGTCTTGAAACAGAAAAACCAGGTCCTGCTCACCTGCTTTTAACCACTTGGTCAAACTATGCCTGAACTTGGTTCTGCTCCTGGACTTTCAGCAACATCAGGCAATAAGTATCCTTTAGTTTTGACGCTAGGTTGAGCTGTGTTTTTCTGCTTGTTACATAAAATACTTGCAATGGATATATCTGGATACATCTCCCCTCCCAAACTTCTAAAAGGAAATGAATGAATAAATGATATTTCAGGGATGACCACGAAGACTAGGGACTCAAGCTGTTAATGTCTGCCTTCCTGATACAGAAGGTTCCCTACGTTTCACAGCACAGGGTTATGAAGGCCAAGCACACTCTCCCGCATAACCCTTTGACGGCAGTTCCAGGAAATATCCAGAAAACTCCATTCACCAAGGAAAATTTTCTAGGTCCTAAATGTGTCTTGTTCTTTCCTTCTGTAATGTGTGCCAATTCAAATCAGGTTGACGAGACCCACTTTGCAAAAAGAGATCTTTCCCACGTCTTGTAAAGCGGACGATCACCAATGTCTTCAACCTTTAAAACGTCCTGCCTGTAACTGCTTATTTAAATAGTAATGCACTGTGGGAGTCAAACAGGGAAAGGTGACTTCATGGCTCAAGGGACAATGTTTATTTCACTGCATACATTTCTAATATAAATGACATGCATGGCTTTTAAAAATATCTGTCTGTATGCCGCTTACTGGTTATTATCACCAGTGGTAACATTTTAACCCCCAGAAACAATATTCATTAAGAAGTCATGTCTCAGAGCTTAATGATTTTATGAGTTGAAAAATTTCAGGACTGAGGAACAGGAAAGGCCCTAATAAGAGCTGAAAGCATTTTAAAAGAATCTAAAGAAGGTTAAATTAAATAGTGACATCCCTGATGGGAGAGTTAACATTTTTTTTTTCTTATGGCTAAAGAAATTCTAGAAAGGCATACCGTGGTCTTCAAAGAAGACCTGTTTAAAAGGTGGGTATGGACATACTGGCATCAACCAGTGAGTCTCCATTAGAAACAGTTATTATAGCTCGCATTCTCCAGAAGGGATGTGATGGGACCCCCCAGGGACAGGGCTCTCTTTGGGATTTTTCTGGCCGGAGTCCTTCAAAGGTACGGGACTAGACCCTGAGAGGAGACAGGAAAAGATAGAGTGGTGCTGAGTTCATAGGAAAGGAGGCTCCCGAGATCTAAGAGTTTCAAGACTGGACTGGATGGATCTCCCAGGCTCCAGGTGGAGTCGGCTGGGAGGGACCTCGTACCCGCCTGCAGGACGGTGGCCAGGAGAGTGGACTGAGCCCAGCACCATGTTCCAGGGATGACTTGCCCAGCTGGTTGCCCCTCTGCGCCCAGTGCGTCTGCACTCAGGGCCACTCTGGAAGCAGGGCCGCTGACTGGACTGGTCCCACTGAAGCTTTGCCTGTGCGTGCCACTGGGGGCCGCTCTTTGCTATTCACCATTTATGGGAGCGTGCGTGCGTGCATGTATAGGTACGTACACGTACGTATGTACATGGGTACCGGGACTCGGGCTTCTGATTCCGGGACAAGCCGGAGAGCATCCAAGTGGGCAGCTTTGGCTAGGTCTGCAAGCTCCATCTCAGCCTGGGCCCCGGGAACTGTGTTTTCACTAGCCCTCCGGGTGGTCCGTCTGCAGGCTCAGCTTTGTGAAGCACAGGGCTCCAGAAGGGCTCCTCCAACTCGGTCATAACACCAACCGGGGGACCTTGTTAAGACGTGGATTCGGATTCAGCGGGGGTGGGGCCCGAGAGTCTGCATTTCTAGTGAGCTCCCAGGTGGGGCTGCTGTGGCTGCACAGGGCACACCTGGAGTTGGCAGGTGCAGAAAGCTCGCCGAGGCAGGACAAGGACAAACTCCATTTTTGCAATAAGATGTGCGGGCCCTGTGATGAAAACCTAACCACGCCACCCTCATTCTTTTTATTTTGCCCAATTAAGATCCAGACTCGTGCTCTGAGTATTTACTCCACAGTGAAAATTCCTCATGGGCCATCCACCCCCCCCCCCCCCCCCCGTCCACCCCGTGCCGTGGGGGCATATTTATAAACCTGTAGGCTACACATCAAAGCCCCTGGATTAAATCCTAAATGAACGAAATGAGATTTTTCACGATGCCTCACAAGGTGGTGGACCGTGTAGAGCATGAGGCATAATCCACTTTGCTCAGGAAAATTGCAATCTGTGAGGGAACAGCATGCCCTGGGAGGCCTGGTGGCACTTGCTTTTTAGGAACTGGCCAGGGCATGGGATTTCAAGGAGGAAACAAAACAGTGGTGCAGGAGACACGTGGAAGACTGATGAGGAGAAACAACGAGGTTCTGTTCACCTCTCCAGACAGGTTTAAAGGCAGTCTTGGGGGGTGGTGCTCATCACACCCACCTTCTCTTGGGGTCTGAAGCAGCTGAGTCAAAAATGATTCTAGTAAAGGTTTTACTACCCCAGATACAGCTCCTCGTGAATGGGGTGGGCCTGGCCTCTGTCGAAGACCGAAAAAGACTCCTGACTTCTTGTCACCCCCACCTACAACTTCTCCCAAACTGAAAGCAAGTGTCTTTCCCAATGAAGGGTGACCTGATAAGAGCTGACAAGCTGGAACAGAGGAAGCAAAGAGAGATGGGGCTGCCAGGTCCTGCCTGGCCTCCGCAGCCCCACAGGGACGGGAAGAGGACTGAGGATAGGCCACGAGGGAGCTCGGTGGCCGGTGGGTCTCTTGCAGTCACCCTGCCCGAAGTAAATGTGGCCACAGAAATGTCAGTCTTGCCTAGACCACACTTGATATAGACTGAATGTTGTTTCTCCAAAATTCATGTTGAAACCCTAACCCCTGATGTGATGGGTTTAGGAGGTGGGACCTTTGGGAGTTGATTAGGTCATAAGAATAGAACCCTTGAGAATGGGATTAGTGCCCTTAGAAAAGTAAAATCCTGGATGCCTGGGTGGCTCAGTTGGTTAAGTGTCTACCTTTGGCTCAGGTCATGATCCCAGAGTCCTGGGATCGAGTCAGGCGTTGGGCTCCCTGCTCAGCGGGGAGCCTGCTTCTCCCTCTGCCTCTGCCCCTCCCCCTGCTTGTGCTCGCTCACCTTCTTGCTCTGACAAATAAATAAAATCTTCAAAAAAAAAAATTAAAATCCTAACTCCCAATGTGATGATGTTAGGAGGTGGGGCCCACAGAAGGTGACTAGGATCAGTGCACCTATAAGATGCCAGACAGCTCCCTCACCCCCTCTTCTCACGTGAGGACACAGAGAGAAGCCAGTCCTCTGTTAATCAGGAAGGAGACCCTCACCACACATTGAAACTGCTCACGCCTTGATCTTGGACTTCCCAGCCTCCAGAACTGTGAGAAATGTTTTGTGTTTATAAGCCATACACCTGTGGTGTTTTGTTACAGGAGCCCAAAAGGACTAAGACGATGCTGATCAGGGGAGTTACTCCTCCGGGAGGCTGGCACCAATCAAGGGATCACGCCCTAAATTGAAAAGCATTCACCCCTACCCAGGCCTTGGGAGAAGGACGGGCTCCCCGCTCCCCACTTTGTAATCACAGGCAGAACGCTGTGACCACGGAGTGTCCTCCCCTGTTCAAACCATCAGTGAGGGCTCTTACACACCTCATCTCCAAATATTTCAAGCGGATACTCAAGATCCCCAATCTCCAGCAAACACTGGAGGTCCCCGAGGTCCTCAGTCGGGCATTCACCACTCAGCACGACCTGACCCCAACACACAGCTTCAGCCTGAACTCCTACACAAACATTCTCGTCTCCACAAAAACAGACTCTGTTTCACTGCTGCCACAGGCTGGCTGCACGTTCCTGACCTGTGGCCAGTAACGCGGTCCTCGCTCCTAATCCTTCAAGGTCCGGATCAACAAGACTTGCCCAAGAAATCCTTCCCTGAGCCTCCCTTGGACTGGCCTGTGCTGCCTCCCACTGCCCCGCACATACTGTCCTGTTCCCTGTGCCACTCATTCCCGGACACACACAGGTTTGCTAGAAGCTGGGAATGAAGGTGTGTTGGACAGTGTCCTGGAGGATGGACTAAGACCGGCGCCTTAATGTGTGTTTGTTTACAGGTCCACGTGATGGGCCCCTAAGAGTGGGAAATAGAAGAGGTTGGGGTCACACGAGAAGGAAAGGTTTGACCGGGGAAGGCTTAAAAGCAATGGTAGTTTTGAGTTGAATCTCGATGAAGGAGAGCGTACAAGGAGGAAAGGAGAACAAAAGCAAAGCCAAGGAGAATCTGAACCCACAACCGTGTGAGAAGAGATCTGTGGGAATTCTGTATAGAATAGTTCACCAGGAATTGTGTAAG